TGAATCGCAAGGAGGCCTCGACTGGGAGCCCCACTCTATGGGGTCCCACCTTGAATTAGCCTGGCGAAGGACATAGCCATACGCAATTGTGAATACCGCAATTGTGAATACCATCTTCGCCCGCGCTCCCTATGTAGCCACGCCTTCCCACTGGGGCCCGACATGCTCAGGGACACGCTCGTGGCCGTCTTCGCGGGCGCCGAGGACGGCGTCCCCCTGACCGAGGAGCATAAGCAGGAGAGGGCTCTGCGAGCCATGAGGGAGGCTGCCACTGGCGCCTTCGGTGGAGCTCCCTATGGGGCCACGATCATCGAGAGGGGTGTGCCGGAATGGCCCGAGGCCGCCATGTGACCCCTGCCACTGGGGCCTTCGAAGAAGCTCCCTATAGGGGCCACGATCCTCGTGAGGGGTGTGCCGAAATCGGCCCGATGCCGTTATGCGAACCCTTCCGCCGGCGCCTTCGGTGGAGTTACCTATGGGGCCACGAGACGTGTGAGGGGTGTGCCGAAAGGGAAGGTGGAACCGCATGCGAACGCAGCCACTGGAGCCTTCGGTGGAGCTCCCCATGGGGCCACGAGACGTGTGAGGGGTGTGCCGAAACGGGGGTGGAACCGCATGCGCCGCAAAAGCGAACGCAGCCACTGGGGCCTTCGGTGGAGCTCCCTGTGGGGCCACGAAACGTGTGGAGGGTGTGCCGAAATAGGGGGTGGAACCGCATGTGCCGCAAACGCGAACGCAGCCACTGGGGCCTTCGGTGGAGGTCCACGTGGGGCCACGAAACGTGTGAGGGGTGTGCCGAAATGGAAGGTGGAACCGCATGCGCCGCAAAAGCGAACGCAGCCAGTGGGGCCTTCGGTGGAGCTACCTATGGGGCCACGAAACGTGTGGAGGGTGTGCCGAAATGGGAGATGGAACCGCATGCGCCGCAAAAGCGAACGGAGCCAGTGGGGCCTTCGGTGGAGCTCCCTATGGGACGACGAAGCGTGTGAGGGGTGTGCCGAAATGGGGGGTGGAACTGCAGGCGCCGCAAAAGCGAACGCAGCCACTGGGGCCTTCGGTGGCACTCCTTATGGAGCCACGAAACGTGTAAGGGGTGTGCCGACATGGAAGGTGGAACCGCATGCGCCGCAAAAACGAACGCAGCCACTGGGCCCTTCAGTGGAGCTCTCTTTGGGGCCACGAAACGTGTGAGGGGTGTACCGATATGGGTAATGGCGATGGGAGGAGGGAGGAGGGGGAGGAGGAAGGAGTGCACGCTGGGCGCTGTTTCTTCAGAGGACACCACAATATGGCTGGGAAACAAATCCGTGCGTGCCACTCGACCATTATATCAATCGTCACTTTGGGATTCCTCTCCGGCTTGGATATGGAGGGTGTCTCGAACGAGAGCCTCGTTTGTGAGTGAAATTTGACAAAGTCTCGAGCGGGAGCTCATCCCTACGGGGTCCCCATCTTAAGATCTCAAGCCGTTCGGATCATCCGATCCTTGCAGCTTTCGTCACTTCTGGGTTCCTCTGGCCTGCGTATGGAGGAACTCTCAAGCGGGAGGCTAATATGCGAATGAAGCGCGAGGACATCTCCAGCGGGAACTCTTCCCTTATAATTTCCCACCCAATGTTTTTTATCCGTGCGGGTCGCCCGATCCTTACATTTGCCATCAATTTGGAACCCTTGAGGTCTGACTAGTAGGAAAAAGACGGGGACCACATACGTGAGTGGAAAATTATGGGAGCGGGAACTACGGGGCCCCACCTCATTTATGTGATTCACCCGGGCAGCTTAACGGATCTCTGTGTAAATGTCGTCAATTTGGGGTTCCCTAGGCCTGAATACGGAAGACATATCGACTGAAACGCGCGGAAATCTTGACTGGGAGTTCATCCCCATGGTCTCAAGGCCAAACAGTCTTACACTGTCCCTGGGTGCGTGGCGAAATAGCAGGCGTGGATATTTGGCGTCTGTGGAGCCCGGGTGCTCCCCCCAATGGGCCACAACTGGCGTCGCTTCCCGCACCCCACCCGACAGCGCAGCAGAGGCAATCAGAAGCCAGCAGGGAAAAACGACCAACTTAGAGCAGCAGGGACCAGCAGAGAGCAACGGAGACCAGCGGACACCGGCAGAAAACAGCAGAGACAACAAATGAAGTTTACGCGGGAGTTGAAGAAATCGGAACTTGTGGTCGAACAACCAACCACCATCCTTTCCTTCGAATTTCACCCCGAGGACGAACAACGGTGCGAGGAGTGCGCGCTGGGCCACTTGTTTCGCCGACGTTTCCCCCACAGGGCATCTAGATACAGGAGCACGGCTTCAAGAAATGCCCGATCGACTAGGAGATCGCTAAGCTGATGCTGCAAAGGTCCGAAGGCGCTGACGACGACGGCGAGGCCGTGGCGCGGGCGCGGAGCCTGCTGACAGACAGGCCCAACGAGCAACAATTGCGTGGCAAAGCCCGCGCGCCGTACGCCGCTCGAGGATCGGCCAGACGCAGGCGTCATATCTCACTTCCACGCTGTCGCAAGACCAGACGTTGCGCACGGGCGTCACCATCGACCGGGACAGGGACCAGGACGCTGGTCGCACTGGGATGTCGGACGACTAGTGGTAGCTGCATCTCTCGTTTACGTTTTCCCGCGTCACGTACATGCGGAACGAGCTGATCCTGTGGCCGCGCACGCGCGAGTTTCTGGAGCGCGGGCACCCGACGTACTTGCTGGAGGCGCTCCAGACGCTCGACCAGAAAACGAGTTCCAGGGCCGAGGCGGAGCAGCTCGCAGCAGAGCTGGGTTTCGCGCTGCCTCCCGCCCGAGCGCGGCCGCGATCCGCTCGAGGCCCTCGGGGGTTGTCCGAACGGCCGGCTCCCGCGCCCCAACGGCCCGTGGGGTCGTTCCAACGGCCTGGCCCGCGGGGTTGCCCAACGGCCTCGTGATACCGCCGTCGGCGAACGGGTGCGCGCTGGCTGAGGCGGCGACGGCCCCTGGGAAAATCGGCTCGTCTGACGCGAGATGAGCCCGAGCCCTGGCCTGAGGGCGGAGGAGGTGGATGAGGAGAACGGGCGGGATGAGGAGGAGGAGGAGGAGGAGGAGGAGGAGGAGGAGGAAGAGAAGGAGGAGCAGAGGAAACGAACCTCCGCAATCACAAGGACGACGATGAATATGCACTCTCTCCGTACCTATGAGATTATCATGTGGGTCGTATCGTCAGAATAATTTTGATCATATTTTCTATTGGGTCGGGCACCCTGGACGGACCCACGATCGAACACACTGACCCTGGCCTTCCACCTAACGAATTTCGGCCGGCCCTGACCATCTGGACGCCCCATGCAGAGCGCTCCCTCGCTCATGAGAGCCCCAAGACGGCCCAACAGGGCCCCAAGATGGCCCGAAGAGCCTCATGAAGGCCCAAGATGGGCCCAAGACGCCCTCCGAAGCACTCCAAATCGTGACCGAGTCGTTTAGGGAGACCGTGGTTCGCGGCAAAGTGGCCCGAGGAAGCCCCCAGAGGCCTCCCAAAGGCGTCCAAGAGGCCTCCAGAAACCCACAGAAAACCCTAAAAAGGTTTCATGAGGCCCCCGAAAGGTTTTCCACGGAGGAGCCTCCGCACGAAAAGCTGAAGATGGCGGGGAAGGGCTCTCAGGGTGTGACGAGAACGAAGAAGAGGGAATGTGAGGGAATGAACAGGAACAACACATTTCAAAGACGACGACGAAAATGGCAACAACGAGCATCGTTGTTTGTACGTTTGTATACGCATACACATATATATATATGTGTATATATATACATATATATATATATATATATCATTCCGCCCGCAGGCCGAATTTGAACGGCTACAGTGCATGGCGCGAAGCACCGATGCTTATGTGCTGTATTTGTATACATACAGTGGGCATATGCACATGTGCATATTAAGAGAAAGAGAAAAACTGACTGAGGAAGAAACAGAGAGAGAGAGAGAGAGCAAGACAGCGAGAGCATGTACAAGCAATACAAAACGACACAATACACAACACACACACACAGGTGACCACAACACACTTTCCCTGGGGGCGCCGAGCTGTGGCATTTCCTGCTGTCTCGTGCTGTGCGTTCTGCCCCGTGTGCTCGTTTACCCACTCCAGTCTCCGCGCTGCTGCCCGCTAGGGGGCCTGGGCCGCCCCCCCAAACACGGGCCCCTCAAAGTTCTGGCCCGTCCAGCTCGCCTCCCGATTCACACTGGACTCCACTGCACCGCCAGGACGGCCCCAGGGAATGCGAGGACGGCCCCAGGAGGCTCCGAAGAGGACTTCACGAGCCCGAGACGGCCAAAGATGGCCCAGGAGGGCCCCAAGACGCCCCCGATAGGGCAACAAAAACACGTGTGTGAGTGTGTGTGAGTGTGTGTGTGTGCTTGCGTGTGGGTTTCAATGGTTTGACTGTCCCACGCTTTGCTGCCAAGATGCCCGAAGCTCGCTTCGAGGCGGCCCGGGAGCCCCCGAGATTGCCCAAGATGGCCCCGAGGTGGCCTCAAAGGCCCCGCCCAAATCGCACAGGATGGCCCAAGAAGGCCCCATACGGCCCTAAGGCACCTTCAAGATGGGCCCCGAAGATAGCCCCGAGATTGCCCTACGATGCTCCCGAGAGGCCCAGTGGTGGCCTGAGATGGTGCCAAACTGCCCCAAATTCACAAGATGGCTCAGCCTAGGGTGACCGACCGAACAAAAATAAGGTTCTTGCATCCGTAAGGAAAGGAATACATATAATGACCCATGCGTGTCTGAGCAACACGGGAACGTGTTTCTAGACATAATGCTACACTGTTGTTTGGAGAAACGGCAATGTAGTGATCACTGACGCTAACGGAGTAACAATCATACACACATGGCATATGCGTAAAGCTGTACGACCATAACGAAGCATGGAAACAAAAAACGAAAACACCAACAACATCATACGCGCCGTATAGACTGGTGAAACAGCATCGCAAGTAATATGAACACAGAGATGGTCGAATGCCTCGCGCTGGTCTTCAGGAACTTCTTCCAAATCCAGATCGTCCTCCCGCCGTGGTACATCGTCTACCTCATCGTTGGCCTGAGAAAGCGAATGGGCCGCATCCACACCAGAGCTGGCGTCAAGAACGAAGTTTCCGCGAGGCAGACGCGACAATGGATCTGGCATGATCAACACGGCCGAAGCATTATCGACACACATTCCCCCCAAAGATTCTCCCCACCTCCTGTACCGTTGGCACCTACGCTAGTCGTCAGCATCGAAGAGCTCAGAAGCCTGGAAGTACTGGGTCGAGCTGCGGCAAGCAGAGCATACTTGAGAAGCTTCAAGGTTAAGCTGCACCCCGAACAGGTTGAAAAGCGCACTCTAGGACATACTGCATAAAGAGTTCATGAACTGGCAAGTCCGCCACCGCTCTGTGTCGTAGTTGGTTTACGAGGAGCTTCGCCTGGTTCTGAGTGTTAGTGTTACTCCTTGCCAAGCAATAGACAACAATTTCTGCGCTTCAGGGCTGACATGCGTCGATATGTTGCCCGTGCCCCTGGAAACTCAGACCTTGTGATAGAAAATAACACCAAAACTCAAATCATGGTCATGGAAGCCGTGGCCGCCCCCCAGCCCGCACCTACCCACAGCAGTTCGATTGCGGATATGCGCGGCGACCCAACGGGACACCTTTGGGATGCCCTCAAGCGACACGCATCGAAAAGGAACGCGTACAACCGTCTGTGTGAAGAGCCCGCGTTCGCAAACAACCGATCAGAAGGACGAGCGGTGGGCACGCCAGGGCCCTGGACGCCACAATTTGCACGCTTGGGGCGGCGGGCTGCCCACACTCCGAGGACGCAAGGGCACCCGTGCCCGCCCCCGCCTTGTCGAATGGGCGCCGTGGGCGCGGGGACCAAACGCAAAAACAGCGCAGGGGCGCGGGGGCATCCCCCTTGGGCGTGGCTTAATGGGGGGGTCATAAATGGGGGGGTCAGAAACGGTCCCCTTTCGTGCCCCTTTCGGGCCCCTCCGGAGCCCCAGGGGGCTCGTTTAGGTACCGTTTGGGTACCTTTTCGGACCACTCTCGCCACCCCCCCATGTATGACCCCCCCATTACGCAACGCCCAACCCCCCAAAATCCACGCGCCCCCCCGGAGACAGCGCCACGAGCAGGGGGCACCTGCTCGGGTGGGCGACTCGCGCATGCCCCGGGGGCGGGCACGCGCTCGGGCCCCCACGCCGAGGCCGCGTCCCCAAGGGGGCGCTCCCCTTCGCGGGCGGCGCGGTGCATGCTGCGGGGACGACGACGCGCTAGGCCCCCCCCCCTGCCTCGTCCGCGCCCGTCGGGGCGCACCCGCCCGTGGGCGATGCAGCGCGTGCTTCGGGGGCAAGGACGCGCAAGGGCCCCCCTGCCTGGTCCGCGTCCGTAGGGGTGTGTCCTGGATGTGTGATCTTCTGGCGCGCGTGCGTCTGCACCTGTGTCTGCGTCGACCCTGGGGGAGCAAGGAACACACGTGCGATGCCTGATTTTCTGGCGCGCGCGTGTTTGCGCTCCACTTGCGCGGGTGGCCATGCTCGACTCGCGAGGGGGGGTCAGGCCAAAGAGGCCGACACATGGCCAATAAACCTGCTTGAGGCCCGCTTGCGGCCGTCTTGGTGCTCTTTTGGGGGCCTGTCTGGTGCCATCTTCGAGGTCCTCTGGTGGTCCAGGAGGTCCTTCAAGGCTCCAAGAAGGCTACGTTGGGGTCCCTCGAGGCGCCCCAGAAGGGCCATTTTTATAGTAAGGTGTCAGGCCAAGAAGGGCCGATACCTGACCAAAAAACCCTCTTGGGACCACCCTCTTGCGTACATCCTGGTGCCCTCATGAACCGCTTCTGAGGCCATGGCTGGGGTCCTCTGGTGGATCCAAGAGGTACTGGAAAGCTTCTAGAGAGCCCCAGGAGATCTCCAAGGAAGCCCCAAAAAGCCCGTCTGGCCAAAGGGGCGGCGAGATCTGACCAAACGGCCTTCTTTGCACTCTCTTGCGTCCATCTGGTGCCCTCTTGGGCCCTTTCTGGGGCCATCTTGGATGTCGTCTGGATGCTCCAAAGAAACATTGAAAAAAGGGGCCCAAGAGAATCCGTAAGACGGCTCCCAGGGAGCACGATTGGATGATTTCCGCCGCGGAACGCACAAAACGACGACGACGATGACGACGACGACGACGACGACGACGACGACGACGACGACGACGGCACGACGACGACGACGATAACGACGAACGATGAACGACGACAACGACGACGACGACGACGAACGAATATGACGACTGCGACGACGACGAAGGAAGACGACGACGACGAAGGAAGACGACGACGACGAAGAACGAAGAACGAAGACCGAAAAAAACGACGACGACGACAACGACGACGACGACGACGACGACGACAACGACGACCGCTCCGTCGGCGATGCGGGCGAAGGCACGAGGGTATCCGCCATCCAGGGGCGCACCCTCTGGGTGGCCAGCGCCTCTGTGCGGGGCCGCGTCATAGGGCCGTCCCATGGGTCGGCCCCAAGTCTCATGAAAGACACAGCCACCTCCCCCTGCAGGGTGCGCCCCTGGACTTTTGATACCCTGCTTTGGTCTCCTCCTTTTCGTCCTCCTTCCTCTTCTGTCATTCCTCCCCTTTCCCGTTCCTGCCGCCTCTCCTTCTCTTCATCGGTCGGCGGCAGTCACTGCCCTCTCCAAGCGTCCCTGGTGGCCGCCGCCGTCCTGGAGGCCTCCAGAGAAGTCCAAAAGGCCTCGGGGATGACCTCAGAGGTCATCCCCGAGACCTTCTGGACTTCTCTGGACCGTTCCTTCGAATGAACTTCTCTGGACTTGTTCTCTGGACTTCCCGCCGCGGGTCGAAGGAATGAACCATTCCTTGGACCCGCGGCGACGGCCAAGGGCATCGTGCCTGGCACGCGGCCTCAGGGCCACGTCCGCCCGCGAACGAGACGCTGGCCGAAGGCGAGGCTGGCGCGCCCAAGGGCGGTCATGGGAGCCGTGCCTGGTGCGCGGCTTCGAGGCCACTTGCGCCCGCCAGTTGGGCGACGGACGAGGACGAAGGCGACGCGCCGAAGGACGGCCAAGGGTACCCCACCGGGTCCGCGTCCTCAGAGCTGTCCCCCAGAGGAGCGTTTCGCCGCGCAGTCAGAGGACGTCGCCCGCCCTAAGGGTGCCCTGAGGGGCTGGCCAGTGAAAACGGCGAAAAACGGGCCGCAGAGGCAAGGACGCGAGGGTACCCTAAGGACAGCCGTGCGTCCTCAGGTTGGATGTTGACTGTACGACTCCGCGCAAGGGCTGTAATGAGACGTGTACACAAATGCACCTGCTCATGGTCGCACCCCGCGAGACGGCGTCAGTTCTTCAGCTCAGTCGTTACTGGGCTGAGTGTGCTGACCAGAAGTGATGCAATGTTGCTATGATAGCTGCCGAAGCTGGCGGTGTCCACATGAAATGCCAACATGTGATGGACCTCGGGTGCCACCAACTTGCCTCCCGCAGGTAACCTTCTCTCAGGCCTGGTCCTCATCGCATCAAATCGATCGCAACACCCAGCCAATGGAGGAGGAGGAGGAGGCAAAGCATACGGACAATGAAAAGACCTCCTCTTCTCCGCCCCCTAGTGGCCCCCACAAGGGCCCCCCACCGAGTTGACCATTCATGTTATGACTTTTAACCATATGCTTGAGCCACATGCCGCAGATTTTCCCCGCCTTGCCTTGCCCAGGGTACCACACGCCGATGGCTACATGAGGTCACCGCGGGGCCCTAGCGAGCCCCAGCACGCCCTCACCCACCCCTGCCCATGCTGGCCATAAGAGACCATCGCCTCCGGGCTGAAACTTCCCTAGGGACACCCCCAACACATTGCCTCCAATGGTTCACACGCTCTCGTCGCCCTGTGGCCCGCTCGTTCACCCCTAGGAGACAAGACAACACGAGACGTCGGACAAGGCATCCGATCCCCCAAGACCCACCTTTCGGTGCTCAAGGGACTTCCCCAAGTCCAGAATTCAGAGGCAGGCGCCTCGTGCCGCTCGAATGTCAAAGGGAATACGATACCTGGTGGCCACTAGCTGCTGATGGACGTACAATATGCCGACCCCTACCAACCCACTACGGGTGTAGGCACCCCAAGCACCCTGAAGCATACATCCGCCACCGTGCCTCTGGGCACGGCGTGGGCGTGTCCTCAAGTCCTTTGAAAAATACCCTGGAGCTTCAATCCTCAGTCCGGAAGGGTCTTTCAGGGGCCCGGAGCACAAATGGTCAAATCTCCCCAGGCTTGGCGCGGATTCCCTGGGCTCCCGCGCGTCTCCCTGCATGACTTTTTGGGGCCCAAGGGGGCCCCAAGACGGGCCAAGAGGGCTCCAAGAGGCCGCCAAGACGGCGCAGGAAGGCTCCGAGTCGCCGAAAGATCGCTCCATGACGCCCAAGATGGCCTTAAGATGGCCCAAAAGGCCTCCAAGACGCCCCAGGAGGCCTCCAAGAAGCCGCCCAAGAAGCCCCCAAGAGTCAAACATCATTGATTAGTCTTAGGTTTTTGAGGGATGCTGGCGTTCTCGCCTTTTCGGACTTCTGACGCTCCAAGACGGCCCAAGATGCCCCTTGGCCCAAGACCACCCCAAAACGGCCACAGAGGCCTTCAAGAGGGCCCCAAGACGGCCCAAGAGCACCCCAAGACGGCCCAAGAGGCGCCCAAAACGGCCCAAGAGGGCCCCAAGACAGCCTCAAAATAGGCCCAAGAAAGGGAACACAAACTGAAAATCCGAGCCTTCCGTCCCAAGAGGCCCCCAGAAGGCACCAAGAGGCGCCCAGGAGGCCTCAAGAGGCCCCCAAGAGGCCCCCAAGAGACCTCCAAGAGGCCCCAAAGATGCCCCAAAGCGGCCCCCAAGAGGCAAACTGCGTCCAGGAGGCCTCAGAGAGGCCTTCCACGAGATCTTAACGAAGATCCAATAGGCTGCATACGCACAACCCAGGCACGGTGGCGGGATGGGCCGAAGGCCACTAGATCCGCCGCCCCCTGCTTGCAGGGGTGCACGGCGTGCTGGATGAGCTGTCAGGTTTTGGTTTTGGTTCTTTTTCTAAAAGAACTCCCCAGTGGGCTTCGGCCCGTCCCGCCGGCCACCCGGAAAGGATGCCCAGGAGCTCAATTCCCCAATTTCCTGCCCCAGACGGTTCCAAGATGGCCTCCAAGATGCCTCTAAGACGGCCAGGATGGTCTCTAAGACGGCTAAGATGGCTCCAAGATGCCTCCAAGACGGCCCAAGATGCCCTCCAAGACGGCCAAGATGGCCCCAAGATGCCTCCAAGATGGCCCAAGAGGCCTCCAAGACGTTCTCCAGGAGAGCCCGAAGAGGCCAAAATCATTGGTTTTCCTTAGGTTTTTGAAGGTTTTTGCGTTTTCTTCTTTTCGGCCTTCCGACGGCCCAAGAGGCCCCCAAGATCGCCCAAGAGGCCTCCAAGAAGGCCCTATGACGGCCCAAGGGCCCCCCAAGACGGCCCCAAGAGCGCCCCAAGACGGCCCAAGAGGCCTCCAAGACGCCCAACATGGCCTCCAAGACGGCCCTGAAGCGCCCCAAGAGGGCCCCAAGACGGCCCAGAGAGGCCCCCAAGACGGCTCCAGACGGCGTCAGACGGACCAGGAACGCCCTAAGACGGCCAAAGAGACCCCCAGGAAGCCCCCAAAGGCCCCCAAGAGGCCCAAGGAGGCCCCCAAGATGCCTCCAAGAGGCCTCGAAGAGGCCCCCAAGAAGCCCCCAACAGACCCCAAGGGTGCCCCAAGAGACTCCTAACAACCCTCATCCTCCTACTCTATTTCTTCCTCTTCCTCTTCCTGTTCATAATCATTCTCTCCCATGTGTTCCCCGAAAGCTTTCCAAACCGACTCGGGGAACTCATGGTCCGATAGCTTGGCCAAGCTCTAGTCCAACTTTCGGCCACATCGGCGTTTCCAAAAAGGCAGGGGGCGGCGGTGATTCGCCGTAGGCGTCTTCGATACTTACAACTTGGGAACATATCCCTGGGATCAGGAGCGCACTCCCCAATTGCGAGTTCCACGAGTCTTTCTGCCACCTGCTCTCTCCTCCGTCTTCCATCGTCCCTCCTCTGTTGCTACTCTGCCCGCGCAGAGGGTGCAACGCGTCCAGAGTCCGAACGTTAACGCTTATTCTGGAGGTAACCACATTCAAGCAGCACTCAGCGCCCTGTGTCAGAAGATGAGTATAATGACGATGGTAATGCTGCTGTTGATGCTGATGTTGTTGATGATGCAGATGTGAATGATGATCATGCTGCTGATTATGATACATGATGACGGTGATGGTGGTTGTGTTGCAAATGATGCTGCTGATGATTATAATGATGGTGATGATGATGATCGTAATCATGGAAATGATGCGGATTACGATGATGGTGGTGATGCTGATGATGCTCATGAGGATGATGATACTGATGGTGGTGGTATTGATGATGGTGCTAATGATGATGCTGATGGTGATGATGAACATGTAAATGATGATGATGATGATGATGATGATGATGATGATGATGATACTGATGGTGGTTGTATTGCTAATCATGCTGCTGCTGATGATGATGATGATGATGGTGATGAGGTTGATGATGATGATGATGATACTTATGGAAGTGATGCTGATGGTGATGGTGATGCTGCTGCTCATGATGATGAGGATGATGATGATGGTGGTATTGATGATTATGCTAATGATGATGCTGATGGTGATGATGATGATGACGATGAATATGTAAATGATGATGATGATGGTGATGATGATAGTTATGGTTATGCTGGTGATGATGAGGATGATGCTGCTGCTGATGAGGATGATGATGCTGCTGATGATGGTGATGATGATGGCGATAATGATGGTGATGGTGATGGTGGTGATCATGATGTTGATGTTGATGTTGATGCTGATGCTGATGATGATGATGATGATGATGATGATGATGATGATGATGATGAACGGCGTGCCGCCGCGCGGCTCTCTAGGAGCCAAGCGGGTTGCGAGAAATAAGCAACTGCATAAGATAAAGTTGCGTAGATCCGTCAGCATTTCTTGGGTCGGCGCTGGACCCCCCTCTCTGGCGTACGGATCGCTCCACGGGCGGCGCTGGGGGAGGCACAAGGGGGGTCCAGCGCTGGCACAAAAAATCCACGCAGACCTCCGAACATCGAGGTTAATGCCCGTCTTTCTTATGCGAGCTGTGTGCTCCCCTGTTGTTGGGCAAACGCTAACGTGGATCGAGGAAGACACTCCCGAACATATGGAAACGGGAAACGCGCCTTGATCCGTCCTCCCTCAAATATCGACTTTCTGCTGCGAGATGTGGGCTCCCCTGTTTGCCCCCCCGCCCTCCCTCCCCCCTTCCCTTCATCGTCCCCAAACCCCCCTTCCCATTGCCACCCCGCCCCACCCCGCGAGGGAGTGAGAGAGAGAGAGAGAATCGGCGAGGAACCCTCCGTCCTCCCTCAAGCGCCCTTCCCTCCCCCTTCCCCTCATCGACCCTCCTCGTAGGACCAGAAAACAAACGACACCATCCCACGTACGGCCCCACGGGGCTTCGCATATACCAAGAAATCTGGCGTGGGTTTTTGCGTGGCATACGCTACGGCCCCCTATTGGCCGTAATGCAACCTGGGAGATCGTAGGTGGGGTGGTGACTTTGTTTGGTCGACCCCTCTCTCATCGCGCCCACCTCCCCTCTCCCATCGCCACCCGGCGAGGCTGATACCGCCATCCCCGGACCTCTCCCGGGGTGCACTCTGACCACAATCTCGAAGCGAATCCAGCCGTGATGGTGAGGGCTAGGGAAAACCAACAAGGCGAAAACCAGGGCAAGAGACCCCAACAAGGCGAAAACCAGGGAAAGGTAGGGGTATCCGTGCCTGTTGCCCCTTCCGCCTTCCGATCCCCACCCCACCCCGCGGGAGAGAGAGAGAGAGAGAGCGTCGGCGAGGAGCCCAATCCGTCCTCCCTCGATCGGGCGGGTGGTAATGGGGGGTGACCTCCATGGGGGGGTGAAGGAAAGGGCCCTAACCGGGACCAGCAAAAGGAGGGCCTGAAGGCCCTCCAAAAAGGGCCCTTTTAGGGCCCCTTTTGGAGCCAGCAGGGGCCCTAAAGGGCCCCTCGAGGGCCCTGTCTTCACCCCCCATTCAGGTCACCCCCCACTGCCGCCCGCCCGACTCGAGCGCCAACTCGCGGACGCCACTGCTGTTTGTTGATGTCACTCTCGCGACGCCCAGGACGACCGCAGAACAGCCGCAAGACAGGCTACAGCGGCCATCTTGAAGGCCATCGAAAGCGATTTGGGCTCCGTCCTGGGATCGTATGTCTAGAGGCCTTCTAGATGGGGTCGGAGGAGATGTGGTCGGAGGATCGCGCCGCATCGCCGATACATCGGCGATGTACCGGCGATGTGACGGCGATGCAGCGTCGACGCCGGCGATGCATGGGCGACGTTCACGTGAAGCAAATCGGGCTCCGCATCGAGCCGCATCGCCGATGCGCCGGCGACGCGGCGCGACCCTCCGACTCCATCTCGGAACCCCTCTGGGAGCCTCAGAATTTGGGCCCCGTCCTCGGATCGTGTGTCCCATCGGTCAGGGCTCCCAACTTCGCGCTTCGCGCTGCGCGAAGCGCGAAGTGCGAATAACTTCGCCCTCTCGCGCCGCCTCCCAGGGGAGAAGAGGAGGACGAGGAGGAATCGGAGCCGAACCGCGAAGCGCGAATAACTTCGCGCCCTCGAGGGCGCCCTTGCGTCGGCGAGGAGCCCCGCCGCACTCCGTTCTTCCTCGAGCGCCGCCTCGCGGAGGCCCCGGGACCCCCGCTGGGGACGCGGCGCGCGGGCCTCCGGCTCCTCCGGCGCAGGCTCCTCCGGCTGCCACGGAGGGTCGTCCTGCCGCCGGGTTCGGCGAAGCCCGGAGGGTGGGATCGGCGGCGAGGCCAAGGGAGGGAGCGAGAGGGGGCGGGCCTTATCAGAGGGCGGCGGGCCTTCTCGGAAGAGCTTTTCTGTCACCTTCTCTCCCTCTTCCAGAAATCTTCCTGCCGCCCCGTCTCTCTTCCCTCTTGCATCGTACCTCCTCCGTTGCTGCTCTGCCCGCGCAGAGGGTGCAACGCGTTGCTACTCTGTGCGACAAGGGGGCATCAGCGGCAAGGCCAGGAAGAAAGTAGGACGGTTAAGGGAAACGAGTAAGCAACATTCGGGGGACATTCGTCTTGTTCTGGCCTTCTGGGGTCAACACACTGAGGTTCATCGTATGCCGCGGCGCAGAGCGTGCTCATACATAACGTCTCGGCTGAAGGTTCTTCAAGACTATCCCACCAAGCCGCACAGCCATAGCCAAACTCAAATAAGCAACCTCCCCCCTCCCCGCATCACCGATCGGACACTCAAACTCGTAAGATCCGAAACCACCATTGCATTCGGGTGGAGAGGGGAGTGCAGACCACATGTTATGTGTGAATGTAGCCTAACTGTTTCCGACACCTGAAGGGGGCAGGCCTTCCCAGAAGGTGGCGGGGCTTCTAAGGAGCCCTTCACAGAAACTCTCTGGCCGTCTGAGAAGCCGTCAGTGTCTTCGGAGGGCTTCTGAGAAGCCCCGCCGCCTTCTGAGAAAGCCCGCCCCCTCTCACTTCCCCCCGGGCTCGCCGCCGAGTGGGTCCAGGGCGCAAGCCAGTGCCTCTCGGTCCCGTTTGTGGGCCCAATATCTTGGGGTGGTGTCTAAAGGACTCCATGCACCTTAAGGCCCTCGAGGCTGGCAAGGATCCCCTCACTGGCTAGTGGGTGGGACATCCCCCTCAAATGTACCCCCACAGCTCTGGCGGCGGGATCTTGAGCATTCCCAACCCAAACCGCTCCCTCTCCTCAAGATCAAAGCTCCCTCTTCAACCCGTTCACCCTCAACTCCCGCCTGTTATCCACCACATCCGCCGCTGTCAATCATTATCCCACCTCCTTCCTCCCACTCCTTCTCATGCCGCTTTCCTTGTTCTTAGCTCTTAGTGCTCCTAAGAATGGCGCTAAGGCTGCTAGTAATGCCTCAGAATGATCATGCTGTGCTAGCTCGCCTCAAGGTCTCCCAGCCGAGTGTCGTTCGCGGCGAGCAAATAAATTACGAACGCGTAGGCGCCATTCTCCCCCTTCGTTGTCAAAAACTCACTAAGATGCTGCTGCGTTGCATGCTTTGCCTTCCCGATGTGCGAACTTTGGCAATATGGGCGGCCCTGGGCGTCGTCACCAAATCATCCCTGCCGTCCTCGCACTCACCACTTGTCGTTGGCGCAGGCCTTTCGCTGCGCGAGGGGATTTAGAAAGTCTGGGGGGGAAATCCTGGGGAAGTGCGGGGAACGTCCCAGGGAAGCCCAGGAAAAGTGCTGGGAAGAAGTCTGGGGAAATCCACGGCTGGAAACGAATACCTTGCGCCGACTGACCACTCCCCAATTCATCTTCTATTCTCTATTCCTCGCCCTCCTTGCGCTGCCAGTCTCCCCAGAGGCCTTCATGGACGACCTCCACTCTGAAGCCATGTTCCTCCGTTCTGGAAGCTCTTTCCCTCCAGAACGGGAGTCAACCTCCAAAATTGAAATTGAGGTGTTCGATCCTCGTGGCGCCCAGGCTGCAACTGGGAGGGCGGAAGTGCACGCGCGGGGGCATCCTCGTCGCCACCCTGGTCATCGAAGTCCTCCTCTGCCGGCACCTCGTCGTCCTCGCCCTTTCAGGGAAGCATATCCGGCGTTAACACGCAAGGCTCGTGCTTTCGCATACTAGTGCCCCTGACAGCTCGCGCGAATGCATTGCACTATCCCGAAACCTGTCGAGACAACAAGGCTTCAGAAACCCAGCGCAAAGATATTAACGCCAACGATACTTGTGTGGCCCCTCCTGGTGCCGCAGGCTGATCAGCCTGATCGTAGTTTCGACGCACTTCGCGGAAAGCCAAGCAAGCGTAGCGAACTACTGTAGGTGTTTTTTGGCCTTACGCTGCAAATTACCGAAATGACCGGAAATCGATACGTGAATGGTTCAAGCTATTTGTCGATTGGTCGCCAATAGTGCACACACACCTACCCCGAATTGTGTTTATACTCATGGTTTCTGGCTTCTCTTCTACAGAACTGGCCCTGAATGTCGATCTGGCGGTTCCGTGCTCGCCGTCGCGGCCCCGTCGCCGCCTTGTCGCCGCCCGTCGTCGGGGCCTGATTGTCCGTCTGGCGGCCCCGTGCTCGCCAACCATACTCCCCTCTCAAAGAATGGGATCGCCAGCCCTTCATCGGAGCAGTGAGGAGGAGAGGACCCTGGCATCCGGGCGCGAAATCGCATGATTTCAGCCCCCGGCACCATCACATATCGATCCGGCTCGATACATGGCGCAGAAAGGTGTGGTCTAGTTGGTTGTGATCTTTCGCGACGTTGCGTTTTTTCGCAACGTCGCATTCACTGCCCATAGAGGGAAAGAGTCAGGAGGGAGATAAGAAAAACAGGGTATGGGTATCCGGTCGAGGAGAATTTATTGTTCCCGCACGAGGGCGTCAACCCGTGCGGGGCCCACCGACAGGATACCCCCCCAAAAAATATTAAGCCTTTGGGCAAGGGGAGGAGGAAAAGGCGGAGGAGGAGGAGAAGGATGAGGAGGAAGAGGAGGGAGAGGAGGGGGAAGAGGAGAGGAGATGAGAAGGGGTAAGAGAAACAGTGAGGATGACAGGAGGAGGACGAGGAGGAGGAGGGGGAGGAGGTGACACGCACAGCCTATTTGCATAGCTAGCTTACCTTACATGGGCGGCGGTGTGGAGGTTTGGTGCACGGATGGTGGAGGAGGAGTACCATTACTGACAGCAACCTCTGTACAACAGAGAATATGAGGACAATAACTGCCTCAACTATTTTAGCGCTGCCGCCCGCTACTATACTTCGTCTCCTACTCATTCGTAGTACTCCCTCATGATCAAACATACTTGGTTGTATGTTAGTATCCTTCTTCCTTCCTGCGCTGCGCCCACTGAGGCCACCATTATTGATTTTCTCTATGCGTTACTTTATCTGCACCAATTCGGGGCCTAATTCGTTTGGCTCGCACCGCTAAGTCGGCTGATCTTCTGGTAGACCCGGGCAACACCACAGCCCTGCAGCTGAAGTTAGTCTCACGAAACAAGTGCGGAGGAAGAGGGGATGAGGGAGGAGGAGCCAGAGACAGAGGAGGAGGAGCCAGATACAGAGGAGGAGGAGGAGGAGGAGGAGGAGGAGGAGGAGGAAGTGAGTGCAGTGGAGGGAGGAAAAGCCGAAGTTGGAATCGGAGGAGGCGGGAGGGGAAGACGGGCAAGGGGAGGCAACGGATAAATACGAGTTTCGGGCGGCAGGCGAGGGAGGGGTCGGTTTGCTGGGGACTGGGCCTGGCCGCCCCTGGCGGACTGGCCGTGACGATGGCAGCTTGGAGGGCCAATCAAGGGCGCCGCCTGGGGCTTGCCCAGGAACGGGAAGGATGTCTCGGCGGCGAGCCCCGGGGGGGGGAGCGAGAAGGAGGAGTGGGAACGAACAATGGCATAAGCATAAAAACTCGGAGGTCCGCGCGGATCTCTCGGAGCGGCGCTGGACCCCCCTGGCGGCGCCTCCAGCGCCGCCCCTGGCGCGCTCCGCGCGCCAATGAGGGGGGTCCAGCGCTTATCCGAGAAATCCGCGCGGACCTCCGAGTTTTGTATGCTTATGCCAATTGTTCGCTCCCTTCGGCGACGAACCTCGCGGAGAGGTGCGCCGCCTGGGCGCGGACGGACCGACGATCACTTCGCGGCCCAAGGGGCGCCTGCTCCGCCTCTAGGAGCTTCCACGGCTCGTCCCCCGGGCTCCTGGGGTGGCACCACACACGGGCCGCAGGTGCAAATGTAGCTTTCGCGGGGGAGGACGAGGAGGACAGAGGCTGCGAACACAGGAGGAGCATGAGGACGGACGAGGAGGATCTGATGAGGGGGGTGGTTTGGGAGCCAACTGCGGACGATGCGGGGCCCCTTGTGAAATCAATTCTGTCACACGCTCATCCCCAGTCGTTGCTGAACCACCTCCAGCTGGCCCCACCTTGTGGCTTTGGCCAACACACAGACAACTGTTTGTAATCCGCCGACCCTGTCGGCGTGTGTGAGGGGCTTTTCCGTTCGAGCCGTCATCTCCGTTGTTCTTTGTACTCGTCGTCTCTGTCCTGCGCCCCAGCCGCCCGAGCCGCGCCCGAGCCGCTCGAGCCAAGCCGACCTTGAGCAACGTCGTAATTCAGTCGAAGGGAAGCCCCTTCCCTTTGATCCCTTCCCCGCCGGGAGGGGGGGGGGGGTAGCGACCCCCCCCCCGGGTCAGATACGACGCCCCCCTTCCGTACCGACCTTGAGCAACGTCGTAATTCAGTCGAAGGGAAGCCCCTTCCCTTTGATCCCTCCCCCGCCGGGAGGGGGGGGGGGTAGCGACCCCCCCCCGGATCAGATACGACGCCCCCCCCCCGTACCGACCTTGAGCAACGTCGTAATTGAGTCGAAGGGAAGTCCCTTCCTGTCGGCGTGTGTGTGAGGGGCTTTTCCGTTCGAGCCGTCATCTCCGTTGTTCTTTGTACTCGTCGTCTCTGTCCTGCGCCCCAGCCGCCCGAGCCGCGCCCGAGCCGCTCGAGCCAAGCCGACCTTGAGCAACGTCGTAATTCAGTCGAAGGGAAGCCCCTTCCCTTTGATCCCTTCCCCGCCGGGAGGGGGGGGGGGGTAGCGACCCCCCCCCCGGGTCAGATACGACGCCCCCCTTCCGTACCGACCTTGAGCAACGTCGTAATTCAGTCGAAGGGAAGCCCCTTCCCTTTGATCCCTCCCCCGCCGGGAGGGGGGGGGGTAGCGACCCCCCCCCGGGTCAGATACGACGCCCCCCCCCCCGTACCGACCTTGAGCAACGTCGTAATTGAGTCGAAGGGAAGTCCCTTCCTGTCGGCGTGTGTGTGAGGGGCTTTTCCGTTCGAGCCGTCATCTCCGTTGTTCTTTGTACTCGTCGTCTCTGTCCTGCGCCCCAGCCGCCGAGCCGCGCCCGAGCCGCTCGAGCCAAGCCGACCTTGAGCAACGTCGTAATTCAGTCGAAGGGAAGCCCCTTCCCTTTGATCCCTTCCCCGCCGGGAGGGGGGGGGGGTAGCGACCCCCCCCCCGGGTCAGATACGACGCCCCCCTTCCGTACCGACCTTGAGCAACGTCGTAATTCAGTCGAAGGGAAGCCCCTTCCCTTTGATCCCTCCCCCGCCGGGAGGGGGGGGGGGTAGCGACCCCCCCCCCGGGTCAGATACGACGCCCCCCCCCCGTACCGACCTTGAGCAACGTCGTAATTGAGTCGAAGGGAAGCCCCTTCCCTTTCCCTTCCCCGACGGGGGGGGAGGGGGGTCCCGGGGGGGGTCCCAGGGGAGTCCCGGGGAAGTCCCGGGTCAGATACGACACCTCCCTCCCCCACCTTCTCGTCCTTCTCCCCGTTCCCCAAAACCATCCCACAGCCCGTGCCTCTTGCTGCGCATTGCGAACAGGGTCGTCGTATCTGACCCGGGGGGGGGGTCGCTACCCCCCCCCCCCTCCCGGCGGGGGAGGGATCAAAGGGAAGGGGCTTCCCTTCGACTCAATTACGAGGTTGCTCAAGGTCGGCTTGGCTGGAGCCCAGGGGAAGAGGAGTCCCAGGGGGGGGCGTCGTATCTGACCCGGGGGGGGAGCTACCCCCCCCCCCTCCCGGCGGGGGAGGGATCAAAGGGAAGGGGCTTCCCTTCGACTCAATTACGAGGTTGCTCAAGGTCGGCTTGGCTGGAGCTCAGGGGAAGAGGAGTCCCAGGGAAAGGGAAGGACAAAGACGACGAATACAAAGAATGACGGAGATGACGGCTCGAACGGAAAAGCCCCTCACACACGCCGACAGGGTCGGTGCCGCGGGGGAGGACGAGGAGGACAGAGGCTGCGAACACAGGAGGAGCATGAGGACGGACGAGGAGGATCTGATGAGGGGGGTGGTTTGGGAGCCAACTGCGGACGATGCGGGGCCCCTTGTGAAATCAATTCTGTCACACGCTCATCCCCAGTCGTTGCTGAATCACCTCCAGCTGGCCCCACCTTGTGGCTTTGGCCAACACACAGACAACTGTTTGTAATACTATCATCCACTTTCACTGCCAAAGGCTGCAACTTGCTTGGTAGTTGACTTCACGGATCCAGTGGGTGCTTCAAACCAGATGTCCGATGTTCTCGCCCTACAACCCTCGACACAGTTGACCTCGAAAGTTGCTGACGCGTCCATTCGATGTCGCTTCTTTTCGCCCCCCTTCAATGTCACCCCATTCAGAGTCGAAGCAGACCGAAACGCGGTCTGGGCTGGCACGACTCGCAAGGTCCACGATGGCTGACATTGGATAGCGGATGCAACAAGTGCTTCGCGCACAATGTCAGCCATGCCCCAAACATCAAATATACGAATCAATTTCGCGACACGATTTTGAGGTTAAGTTTGACGAGGGTATTAATCTTCGCTCATTTTCTCGTCTTCGACGTTATCGCCGTTCACCTCCTCGTCATGCTCCTCCGCCTGGACTCTAAAAGTGACGTGCCCAACGTCCTTGTTCGACGGTGTCCCTCTGTCATTACACCACTGCCACAACCTAAAACTCACGTTTATTCCATCCTCTAAGGCGCCCGGTGTCCCTCGCAGGACAATACAGCACAGATGATGCAAAACAAACGTAAACTCCTGTTATCAGATTTCGTAGCCAGGATTATTCCCCAACATCTCGAGGTAGTTAGGCAAACGCTATCTATAGGAGGTAGTCGACTCGTGCGGGAAAGGCTCATCGACGTGCCAATCTTCGGGAGTGGGATATAGAACCACATTTTTAATCTGGGCATGTATGCCAGAAAGAATGTGTCGATGAAGCTGATGGCGCTCAAGGGAACACCGGGCGGGCGCTAATCATGACGCTCCTCTGTATAAGCCTCTCGCCCTGCCATCCTCTAACCGCGCGGTCGGACGTGGGTGACAGTGCGCTTGCGAGCGATCCTCCTCGGCTGGGGCTTGCCCACGCGCTGGCCACCGCCAAGGTTCCTGCGCCGCAGCCCGTCTTTCCATCGGGGGTTCTGGTCGAGCACGATAATAGGTCGGCGGTGAGCAAGGGGTGGAAATGAGAAAGAGAAGACATCTCAGAAAACGACGGGGATTCTCAGACACCCTCGCGCCTTCTGAGAAGTGTTCCGTGTCTTCGGGGAAGGCTTAGAAAACCGCTCAAACGGCCTGGGATCTTCCGAACCTTCTAGAAAGACCCGCCTGAAGGAATCCTCCATAAGGAGGCCTTCCTAGAAGCATCATTACTAAGAATTTCTTTTTGCAGGGATCATTGCCAAGGGGCCCATACTGATGGAAGCACGAGCAATGAATTCTTACTATGAGGATCCTTGACAAAGGCATCCTTACCTCACTCAGGGCCTCTTACGGGAGGCATACATAGTGAGGGACCCTTACTAAAATGAACATTAAAATACGAGTCATTACTTTAAGGCCTTACTGAAAAGATACTCACTAACCCCACTCAGGAGGCCTCACTAAAGGCATCCGTACTAATAGCATTGTATATATATATATGTATATATAAAAAAATCCGGACTCAGGAACACGCATCCTTCTCTTAAGGAGCCATTATGTAAAGAAATAGCCGTACAGGATCTTTACTGTAATGGTCCTTGCCGAGAGGACAGATACTAAAGAAATCCTCTCTACGGGGGCCTTACTAAAAACATTCGCACAAAGGATCCCTCACTCAAGGCATTCATAGCAAGGGGCCCTGACTAAAGAAGGCATTAGCAATGAATCAATATCACAGGGGTCCTTACGAAAGGCATCCCTACTAAGGACTCCTCACGAAAGGGGTCCTTACTAAGCAATCCTCACGGAAGGGGTCCTTATTAAGGAATCCTCATGAAAGGCATCTTCATTCAGGATCCCCCACTAAAAGGGCAACTTGCTCAGGATCCCTTGATGAACGGCATCCTTACGAATGGAGCATTATTAAAGGAATTGTTACGTAGCATCTCTCCCCACAGGAACTCTCACTAAGGATCCCTTCGAGTTTCGCAGAGGGGATGATTCGGCTCCTGAACCCCTCCCCCAAAACGACCCCCCCAGATCCGTGGCCCCGAGGGCCCCCTGGACGCCCTTGCAAAAGGTCCCCCGGGCTTTCTGGAGCTCCTGGAAGCCCCTGCTGGGCCTGGGCAACGATAGGTCAGGGCGGCGGCCGAACGGCCCCCAGCGGGTCCCAAGAGGCCCCAGACACCCGCCCGAAGACTACCTCAAGAAGACCACCAAGAAGCTCTCGAAACACAGAGATTTTCCAAACATTGGTGTATGATTTGGGGAATGCTCTGCTCTTCGGTCTTCCGGCCGTCCGAGACCGCCCAGGACTCCCGAAAATCGCTCCAAAACTCCCCGAAAGGTCTTCCGTCCAAGGGAACCCCAAGACGGCCCAACAGGGCCCCAAGATGGCCTGAAGAGAGCCCCATGACGTCCCCAGATGGCCCAAAAACGCCCCCCGATGCAGTCCAAATCGTGACCCACTCGCTCAGGGAGACTGCGATTGGAAGCAGGGTGGCCCGAGGAAGTCCCCAGAGTCCCCCAAAGGCGACCAGGAGGCATTCAGAAGGCCTCAAAAAACCTAAACAACTCTCGTGAGACGCCCAAGAGGCTCTCCAAGGAGGAGTCTCCGCAAAAAAAGCTGGGGAGGATGAGACATAATTCGCAGGGTAGGGCGAGAATGGACGAGGAAGAAAAACAAATTCATGACATACATATGACGGCTCACATTATTATGACCACGATGCCGGAACATGCAACACATACTTATCGTTAAATGTTATGTGTTGCCTTCCTGTTTTCCGCCTTCATGTCTGTATATATATATATATATGTATATATATATATATGTTTTATTAATATTCTGGTGTTCATCCAAATTCCCGCTGTAACTCTTTGGAATATTCAGAACTCTCTCAAGATTCACCAGAATTCCGTTCCGCCAGGGACCAGGAGCACTTTTCTACAATACGATTTACAGGGTCCTACAGGCATCGTCAAACATACACCGAAACGCTGTTCAAAATCGAGGCGCTCGATAGTTCGGCCATGTGTCAGAAAACGCGTTCTTCAATGCTGCGCGGGGGCTGCCAAATTTCGGACACCCCTGCGTCTGGGCCGAATACCTCATGTCAACATTGAAGTAGCGCCCACCACGCATGCACCAAAAACAAAAACCGCCAACTTATTTCTGACGAGCAAGAGGCGCCAAGCTCGCTTCCATTCGCTGGTGCAATCTATGTGGTGAAATCGATGTGGTGCAATTTAAGTGGTGCGTCATCATCATCGCCGCAGCCACTACCGCAGCCATCCTGGGGCTCATTCTCAAGCTTGGACACTAGCGCGCGTGGTCGCCGTGCCCCTGTAGCTCCGCCGCCGCCCGACGTCGCCGCGGCGTATTTTTCGCAGCGCAGCTGCCTGGCAATGTCCACCGCGCTGCGATTTCTTCCAACATGATTGTGGCCGGGTAATTGCGCAACTACCCCGCAACTGCCCAGCCACCGTCCACCCGACATTAGTTTTTGAGTCAACTGGCAATCATCGATGCTGCGGCGATGCATTTTTACACAACAACTACACGGCTGTGCCCACCGCACCTTGTTTTTTTCTCAGGGATGATGGACCAAGTACTTGGGTGCTTGTGGAATTTTGAAAAGGATGACCACTTGAACTCTTTTTTTCAGAAAAGTGCAAGCACCCAAGCACTGGCCCATCATCCATGATAGAAGAACGTGGTGCGGCGGGCACAGTCGGGTAGATGTTGTGTAAAAATGCATCGCCGCAACATCGATGATTGTCATCCGTATCAAACAACTAGGTCGAGTGGACGATGGCTGGGCAATTGTGGGGTAATTGCGCAACTACCCGGCCACCTTTCGTTGTTAAAAAACGCAGCGCGGTGGACATAGCCAGGGGGCGGATCATCTGCCACGGTCATGCCATGCCTGGGGGCGAGACGATGAATCGCTGGTGGTACGAGTGGATCATCCGCCACAAGTTCCCCGCATGGTTGCGCAAGGCGACGAGGGGCGACCGCGGGGTCTTCTTGGCTCAAGACCACGGGCGGTGCCCGTGGACCGAGGAACCGCGCTGCGCCCTGCTCGAACAGGGCATTCATCTCTTGGAGGATTACCCAAGGTGCAGCCAGGACCCCCGAATGCGATCGAGGCCGCGTGGCGGGAAATGCGCGCTCGCCTTGCCGCTACAGAGCCGGACTCCATGGAGACCAGAGAGATGTTCGTCGTTCGCCTTCGCGCGGCGGTGGCCTGGGTGAACGTACGCCGCGGGGCGTACTTGGTCAAGATCTGCACAGATCAGAAGGAGCGGGCCCGCGACGTCATCTGGTTGAATGGGAGCAAGACGAAGCATTGACTTCCGTGCCTGGACGCGCGCTGGCCCCATCGCGGCAAAGGCCCGCGCGGTCTGCCAGCGTTCCCAAGCAGCGCTTGCATGTCGCAGTTCAAACACCGGCGCGCGCGCCGCATACGATGCACCGCGAAGCCTGCGCCGCGCACATGGCGCCGCATAGGTGTCACCGGGGGAAAGCTAGAACGCACAGCTTGGGGCCCACGCTACAGCGGTCAAGTTTCGTCAAACATACATCGAAACGCTGTTCAAAATCGAAACACTCGATAGTTCGGGCAATTGTCAGAAAACGCGTTCTTCAATGCTGTGGGGGTACTGCCGGATTTCGAACACCCCTGCGTCTGGGCCGAATACGTCATACCAGCATTGAAGTAGCGCCCACAACGCAAGCACCGAAAACAAAAGCCGTCAATTGATTTCTGACGAGTCTTGTAGGGTCGCCTCTGGATTCCTCGGGTATCGTAGAAGGGTTTCTAAGGGGTTCCTGACTCCTTGCGAGTACCTCAGGATTCCCCAAGATCTCCAGGATAGGATTGCGCAGGAGTCACAGGATCCCCCACTCTCCATCAAGATGCCTCCTCAAACTCCGCAGGCTCCTTCACGTTCACCAGGACCGTTTTAGATTCCGATTCATTTCCTCTGGACTCCTCCGAATCGCTGAAACGAGTTCATTACCAGTCCTGAAGACTTCGCTCGGCATCCTCAGGTTTCCTCAGGATCCCGCCGGGCGTTTGACGACTGCAGAGCGACTCCGCAAGACTCCCTGGAAATCAAAATTGCTCTAGCACGTATCCACATGATCCCTCCAGACAAACTCGGATTCTGAAAAATCCTCATCGATTCAACAAGACTGTTCAGGATTTCCGGAAGATTCGCATATTAAGTGTTGTTTTGGATTCTTCGACAGTCAGCAAAATCATCTCAGGATTCATCCAGATATCCTCAGGAGTGCCTAGATTTCTTCGGATCGCTCAGGATTCCTTAGGAATCACCAGGGTTCCTGAGCATCCCTATGAATTCCCTTGAGACTACTCGAAAGGTTTCCGAAATATTCCTTCTGAGGATGCCTCAGGAACGTCAGGACCCCATACAATTTCCTCAAGAACTCCTGAGGACTCCCCCGACCCACGCATACCGCCGCCCAACTCCAACTTCACACGACCCCAAACGCACACTACATCCCCCTACGTTACATTGCGCAGGGGGGGGGGGGCAGTGAACGGGGCCCGAGTCCAGGTGCCACACCATGATAACAACAATTGGTGACCACGGCTCGGGGCCAACGCCAGGAGGATCTGGGGTCCAAGCTGGAGTAAACCAAATATACGTACGCAAACGAGCTTGATTCCCAGACCGAGCGACAACCGATTTCGTATGCCTTGCGAATCGTAAACAACGTGACGAGCGAGTCAGTGAACACCGTGGCCCTCGTACAGGGGAGACCGAAAACTCAAACATCGGCTCCGAAAAGCGCAGAGATATGTCATCGACGCGCCCCCCCCGAGCAAAAAACATGTGACTAATGCGCCTAAGCACTGTCTAGACTGCGGAGTGCGAGAGGGGCTACTGCAAGAATAGCAGGATGCCGGTAACATCGGGTAACATCGGGTAACATGCGTGGCTCTCCGTCAAATTCAGGCCTCCTCCTGGCACGCTCTTTCCACTGCCCCTTCTCCTCCTGAGAGAAATACATAGAAAGAGAGAGAGAGAGAAACAAAAAAATAAGAAGAAGAAGAAGAGAAACCACAAGAGGGAGAGAGGAGAGAAGGAGAGGGAGGGAGAGAGAGAGAGATAGAGAGAGAGAGATAGACTTGGAAAGATCTTCTGACAACAAAGGGCTTCTATCGCGAAGGCCAACCGCATCCAGCCCGCCCCACCATCTCTTCGCTTTGTCCTCCCCGACGCTTCCCATATCGTCCGATTCGACCATCTCTCCTCCGCACCTACCCTGTTCGGAAACATATCATGGTGGTGAAGTCCGCGGGTGCAATGAAGCCCGTGGTGCTGTTGGCAATGCTAACACGTTGGCATTTTGGCGACAATGCGACATGCAACAAGGGAGCCACGGAGACAGATCAATCATCAGGTCGGGACTGCTGCTGCCAAGTGGGCTCGGTGCCACTGTAGCAAAGGCGGCCTGCTTGCCTTGTGGAGCTGGCAGCACAGTGGCTGCGGTCAAATACAGGCTCGCTGTCGGCTGCGTCATTCAAATAGCTTTCTTGAGGGGGCTGCAGCCCCGTAATCTATGTTGCGTATGCAGCGTGGCGGCCGCCCAGTGGTGTGTAAATGGTAGAGAAGATGTGACGTGCGGAACGAACACATGTACAACACGCGCACACACGCAGACACCAACACACACAAACACACACACACACACACACGCACACACACATACAAACAGTCACACACACACGCACGCACACCGCACACACACACACACATACACACGCACGCACGCACGCACGCACGCACGCACACACACAAGCACATACATACATACACACACTCACACACACACACACACGCACACACACACACACACACACGACGCACACCAACACACACACACACCCTTTTCGAGTGCACGCGGCCAGGACGAAGAGCCACGCAGGCGATCCAGTACACACAAAGGCGCACACACAAGCACACGCGCACGCTCACAAACACAGTTGCACATGCATACACACACACACTCTTGCTAACGAAACGGCCAATCTCTCAGGACGCAAGCGGAGGCGGGCGCAAACCCCAGAGAGACCCCGGGAAATGCCGACTGAGCCGCTCAGGGCATGGACACCTCTATCAAGGCGACAACCTCGCACACCGCCCACAAAGAGTTTCCGTAAAAGCGCAATGACGTACCCCATATCAGCGCGGCAGAAAGCTGTGACCGCGAAACGAGAACGGCCGTGGGGAAAAGTCGGTAGCAAAAAATCCAGTTACAATAGCACAGGTCTGCAGAATCCACCACGACAGGGCCCCACGAACGAGCGCGCGCACATGGTGGCCGATGAACATGCAATGCGCCCTTCCCCCTTCCGCGCCTGCCAGAGGACGAGGCAGAATCTCCAGGGCGCCGGTAGTGCGCCTGCGCAATTTCTGATTTGGACGCCCGAAATGGGTACGGAAAGAATGGGTACAGTGCCCAACAACAGATGTTGTCCCAAACCAACAGTGGCCGCTGTTGGGCCAGCGGCCGTCTGTCTCAAATGGACACGGGCCGCGGCGGCGCGGACAGCGAGTCCTGTTCAAGATGAACAGGAACTGCTGTTGGGCATCGTACCCATTCTTTCCGTACCCATTTCGTTCGTGCCGATCTGACGGCAGGCAAGTCGAGTGGAAGCGCGATGTATGCCCACTGTCATCAGCGGCACTCGCCTCCAACGCCTACTGGCATTGCACGGAGCAGGCAGCGCAAGAGGAAGCCAAGGATAGGCGCCGCGAGGGAACTGCTCGTCCTCCTCCTCCTCCTCTTCAGATCGTTTTCCTCTTCCGCCTCGTCCCTCCTCGCGGCGACAGAGGGGCAGATATAGATATACATCCCCTAGTGAAGCGTGCTTCGGCCCACAAACAAGATCCAGACCAGACGACGACGATGGCACGACGTCGGATCGATTTATGTTTCACCACTGCGCTGGGCCGGCTCGCGAACACCGCGAGGAGTGCCTGAGGGGCTACACCCCGAAGGACGCTGGAGCCGATGGTCGTATATATGTATGTATCGATTAATACAGAGAGAACGACAGACAGAGAGAGAGAGGAGAGATACAGAGAGAGAGAGAGAGCGAGAGAGGCGGGGATGTGGGGAAGCACGGGGGCTAGGAGAAGGAGGACAGATGACATCAAAGGCAGAGGAACTGCGTCGCCTGCAAGTCCGCCGACCCGACGGCCGTCCGACCTCCGCCCTGGCAGACTACAGCCTCATCGTCCGCGATCGATGCCCAACTCACTCTGCGATCGGTCGCAGAATCCGCCAGTGGTCGAGCGGCCGAGTCCGCCGCCACTCCACGTGCGCCAGCGAGCGGAATGCAGAATCTCGAACGTGACGATTCCACGAGTGGGCGTGATGAGAGGAGTCGCTCTGTCGCTGGATGCCGAACGACAACAAAGAAACGCGAGCGTGTGGACAAGTATGCCAGCATGCATGCCCCCCTGACCTGACTGCAGGCTGGCCGACACCCGGGCCATGACAGGCCGCTTGGGACAACCCCAGCGCTCCCGGAAAGCTCGCGACGAAGCTCTGCTGCTGGAACACGTCCAGGGGCCCGAACACTCTCACGAACCCTTGATAAGGCAAGGCTTGAAGGCTTGGAAGGTGCCCCATTCACCTCCCCTCCTCTTGCTCAACTTGCTCACCCGTCCTCTATCCTTCCTGCTCTCTCTGTCTGTCTCTCTCTCTCTCTCTCTCTTTGTGTTTCTGTTGTCTCTCTCTCTCTCTCTCCCTCTCTCTCTCTCCCTCTCTCCCTGTCTCTGTCTCTGTCTCTCTCTCTCTCTCTCCCTTTCTATCTCCCTCTCTCTCTCTCTCCTTCTCGCTCCCTCTGTCTCTCTTTCTCTCTCTCTCTCTCTCCCTATCTCTCCCTCGCTCTCTCTCTCTCTCTCTTTCTCTCTCCCTGTCTTTCCCTTCCCCTCCCTCTCTCCCTCCTCCCTCCTCCCTCCTCCTCCCCCTCCTCCTCCTCCTCCTCGTCCTTCTCTTTCTGGCCTCTGTCGCCCCTTCGTCACTACCTGGTTTTTGCGCTGCTCCCCGCTGCTTCCACCCCCCTCCCCCCTCCATGGCCTCTCTCTCCATCCCCCCGTTGTGAGCACGCACTGGCTGCCATGCGACTTCGTCCACCACCATCACCAGCACTCGGGAGCCCACAGAAAGGACGTACGCGCCCAGCCGAGTACATGAATACTGCCCCCCAGCCCGCGAGACCAGCCTCGTGCTACGAACGTTCGCGTCATGCGCACTTTCGAAACAAACGCGGATTCATGTACATGTACGTCCTTATTTCGCTCCTGAACCCCCTCCCCCTCCCCCACCTCCCTGCGCACCTCCCCCTCCCGACCCCCGCCCTTGACGGCGCGCGCGAGGGGCCAGGGGAGGGGGGAAGGCTTCTCAGGAGGCTGCTTCTTAGAAGGCGCTGGCCCCACATCTACAGATAAGGCCTGCGCCTTCTGAGAAGCAGGGGTGCTTCTAAGAAGCCCTCCCCCCTCCTCCCCCTACGGCAGGTTAGTGTCGTGCCGACCCCGGCGTTGCTTCCTGACACCGCGGGGATCGTTCAACCTTGAACGCCGGCGGCGGGGTCGCCGCCAGTCGACACGACGCGAACATAGTGTACCCCCCACTGCGCGTGGCCGACCCCCTTCCGACCAACCCCCCTCTGGTTTGGACGCCCGAAATGGATACAGAGAGAATGGGAACAATGCCCAACAACAAATGTTGTCCCAAACCAACAGCGGCTGCTGTTGGGCAGGCGGCCTTCTGTCTCGAATGGACACAGGCCGCGCCTGCGTGGACAGCGAGTCCTGTTCAAAATGAACAAGATCCGCTGTTGGGCATTGTACCCATTCTTTCCGTGCCCATTTCGTTCGTGCAAATCTGGCAGCCGCGGGCGGCGGCGGCGGCAAAGCCCGGCGGCGCGCCACCTGCCCCGCGCCGCCGCGAGGTGCAGCGCCTCCGCCGATCGGACCCGGGCGCCTCGGGCGCGGCCGCCTCCGCCGCCACCTCCACCCCTCCCCAATCGACTACAATCAAAGCATATCATAAGGACGCGTGGTAAGGACGCAAGACCCTGGAGGCCGAAGTTGGGGTATTTGGGGCACCCGCCCCAAGGGTACCCTGAGAGGCTGTCCAGTGAAAACTGCCAAGGACGGGCCGCAGAGGCAGAGGCAGAAAGGGACCCAGGGATACCCTTGAAAAGGCGCGCGTCCTTATCATGGGCGCTGACTGCAGGATATCGACTACAGAACTGATTTACTCCGACATTTATTTTCCGTCGGATCTACGAACAGTACGTCGAATGCTTCGTAGACCTCAGAGCATCCTATGCATTTGTCGTAGATTCGACGGGAAAATAAATCTTGGGGTAAATCTATTATGTAGTTGATCACCTACTCGACCAATACACGTTATTTTTGGTGCCGGCGGCCGAGTGTTGCCCAGCATGAGCGGCACATGTGGCGTGGCACACGATGCGGTGCATAGCCGAGGCTCAGCAGGCGCCCGTCGCAAGGGGCCCAACACAAGCTGAAGCCAGCGTGTTCCCGGATGCTGCAGCCGCAAGAGTCGCCCCGCCTCCGCCCGGCACAGACGCCTCGACCATTGGGGGAACGCGCATCCTGAGGGGAGCCCACGAGGCGGGGAGGCTGGCGCAGGCTCCCAATCGCTCGGACGTCCATTCCCTGTGCTTTTCTCGGTTTCGTGCGTGGTTTTTTTCGCAGGATGATCCAGGATGCTCCTTAATAATCCCCGCCGAGAAAAAGTGCACACGTCCGAGCGATACCAAGCGGGGGGCGGGGAGGCTGGCGCAGGGAGGGGAAGCAGTGGCCCAGAATCGACGAGACATCGTCGACGGATCGGCGATGGGCCCCCTGTGGAGAGGCCCCGCGTCCAGGAGCTGCCCGGGGCACGAGGGCCCCGATCGGCGAGGAACGGGCGGTTGGGGGTCGATGCCTCCCCACATTATCAAGGGGCTCAAGGACACACAAATAAATACACACAAATAACAGGAGTCCCCATAGTTTCCCATATTTTCTGGGTTTCTATCGTCCCCCCCACTTCCCACATTTTCCCATATTTTCCTGGGAATCGACGAGTAATTGTGTCTGTGTGTTTTTTCCCCTCCTGAGATTAGCCAGTCTCCCCCCCCCGTCGGCTCTCCTGAGCATCGGGGTCCCAGGGGTTTCCATGGCCTGAGGTGCCTTCGCGCCTCTCGCGAGATGTTTGGCCCAAAGGGGCCCTCCCGAGGTTCTCTGGGCCTCGTGGGGCAGGGACTCTGACGCCTGATTTCTGCCAACGCGCATGTGAGATACGCAGGCAGATCCTGCCCTCGATATCCAGAGTTCTCCGCATTATCAGACGGCGCGTAACTTTCGAGATTGGCCTGGCCCAGGCCGCCTGTGGCCTTCAAGCTTGAACGCCCGGGCCAGCGTCGCCGCTGCGTCGACGCAGCACGACCCTGCTACGCCGACAAGCCGAGGCTACGACCTCGAAGGACGTGTGCAAATGGAGGCCGAGGCCTCCCTCGTCTCGTCCCTCCCTCTCCCCGCCTTCCCGTCCCTCCGCCCGTCCCCCACTCCTCATCGACACTCTGAGATGATGCTGTAGTCGTTGTGGAGCCACTCCCTCGAAGCACTTGGCTGCTGGCGGATTGAAGCTGGCTGGCATCGGAGGCCACCTCCGTCTTCTCCGGGTCTTCCTGGCAGGATGCGCTGACCCAGGCGGCGTGTGTGAGAGGCTCTTCGACGAGAGGCCAGCCCAACCCAACCTGAAGTGCGCCAGCCTCCTTTGAATCGTCGCCGTCGTAAGGAGACCGAACAGGGCTCGAACAAGGTCGTCAGCACGTCAAAGGGAAGCCCCCTTCTCTTTGTCCCTTCCCCGCTAGAAAGGGGTCCCAGGGTCGGGGATCTACTGACCCGGGTCAATCCAGACCCAGGTCAGTCAGGCGTTGCAAAATCCTGCAAAATCCTGCAGGCTCCTGCACCCAAACCCGGGTCGGTGCGACCCTGGCCCTCCAAGATCCTGTAAGATCCGGCGCTCTGACCCGACACCCCTTTGCACTGACCCCCGTCTCTTGCGCCCCGCTCCAGTGGAGCACTGCACGACCCGGCGGGCTGCTGAGCGTCGTGCGGCTGGCGTCGTGCGGCTGGCGCGTCTCTTGAAGCTGCTGGGGTCGGGGCAGGAGCCGAGCCTGGCGTCGGAATGACCGCCCGCGTTTTCGCCCTGGCCCCCAGGCTGGGGCCGTGGAGCAGGAGCCCTGCACTTGCGTGCACCAAGCGCTCGTCGCGGCAATCCGAACGGTCACCTCCGCAGGCGTTGGAGCTGGGGTCGGGGATGCAGCGGATGCAGTCAGAGACGGAGCAGGGGTCGGAGTGGGAATCGGAGCAAATGCGAGATCTGGCTCTGGAGTCGAAGCGGGTCGGGGCTGGAGATCTCGCCAGAGGAAGAGCGAGGGCGAGCGCGAGGTGACGGTCAGGCGGGGCCCGCCCCAAGAGGGCGGCGCGGGGGGGCCAGAGCCCTCATGAGTTTGCCTGGGTGACTCGAGGTCGATAGAAGGTGGTGATGTGGAAAGTCGGATGCTGGAAGCTGGATTCCATGAGTGCTGAGCTGGTGCAACTTGGAGGTCGACAGGTGGAAGTGGAAATTGAATGTCGGAGCCTGGAGGTTGGAGGTCGGAGTGCTGCGTCAGCGGAGGTGGGAGGTCGATAGGTGGAGATGCAAGATGCAAATGGGACGTCGGATGTTGGAGGCTGGAGGTTGGGGTACACCGGTTGAGCACTCCGAGTTCCAGCCTCCTCCACAGCATCCGACTTTCCATTTCTACCTCCACTTATCGACCACAAGTTTCGGAGTCAAGGAGAGTAATTACCCTGCTGGGCAACACCTTGCAAGAGTTTCGGTACTCCTTTTCGACATCAAGCGGACCATCAAGTTCGCGAATGGTAGCTTTGTGGGCAGCATATTTCACATCAAACTCGTGAAGGCCTATTGTTTAACTTGCGGGATTGCCAGCACCTTCGAAGTCAAGGAGGGCATCGCATGGGCAGCAAGCTGTGGGAGTTCAAGGACTCCCTATCTTTTTCTTCAGCATCCTCTGGCATGGGCGCTCGGCCACTATTCTTTGTACCGCATAATTCCCCGAGGCTGCAAAACAAAGTGGAAAGGCAAAGCTCTCAAACGTGCAAAACTACATCTTTCCTGAACACATCTAGCAAGTAGAGGCAGTGCTTGGAGCACAGCCCGATCATGCACACTCCAGCAAGCCCAAGCTGGCCACACGACCTACCCCAAACTCATCGTCAAGGCGGGGGTCGATCAGCAGACGCATGCCCAACCCAAAGCATCCTGGCAAGGGCACACAGCCGGGCACAGCATCAGCCTCGCCATCGCTCGGACGCCCAGTCCCCGTGCGTTGTTCGGATAAGAGCGTGTTTGTCTGCGCAAGATGATCCAAGCTGCTCTTCGATGGTCCTCGCCGAGAAGAAAGTGCACACGTCCGAGCGATGCCGAGCAACTGGACCACAGAAGCCGAGAGAGTGGCCGCCGTGCGGGGCAGGCCGCGGGGCTCCCGCTCCACCACCGCGTCTGCACGGAGGCCGCGCGCCGACACGGGCGAGGAGCGAGAGAGTGCCCGGAGGGGCGGCAGGCCTCCCCTCCTCCCTGGCTCTCCGCCTCGCGGAGCGAGCCGCGAGGAGGAGGGACTCTGCCGGGGGTGCGTGCGGGCCCTCCTCGACCTTTCCGCTGTGGGAGGTACGACTCCCGCACGCGCATGGCTGCAAGAGCACCCCACAAAGGAGATGGTGGAGGGTGGTGTAGATAGGGGGCAGGAGGAGGAGGAGGAGGAGGAGGAGGAGGAGGAGGAGGAGGAGGAGGAGGAGAAGGATGAGCAGGAGGAGGAGGAGGAGGAGGAGGAGGAGCAGGAGCAGGAGCAGGAGGAGGAGGAGAGCTACCCACCCCCCGGCGCTCGCCTCGCCGTCTGCGGCGGGTAGCTGCTGCGGGCCGGCGGCTGTCCTGCACCCGCTGGGCGACACCCAGGGCACCCCGAGCTACGCCCTCCCTTGCGGACGTCATCTCCCGCCTCCCATCCCTCCTCGTTTGCATTGCATTTGGCCATCCTCCTTCCTCCTATTCCTCCTTTACCTCCAGCACCTCCTCTTCCTCCTCCTCCTCCTCCTCTTCCTCCTCCTCCTCCTCCTGTGGACTGTGGGCTAATAGCAGGAAGATCCAACGGATGTTGCCCTCCCCTGTCGGCTCGGGGGGGGTGTCAAACGAAAGAGCCATGCGATTCCTGGAGCAGTTGCTCCAGGAGTGGCCGGCTGGTGGGAGAAGCTGTACACGGTACAGAAGGCAAAAGACTGCAGCAAAGACAACAGAACGCGGAGAGAGAGGAAGGAGAAGAGGGCAGGGAAATATGACCTCGAAAAAGGATAATTAACAGGGGACGTAGTAGCGGCGCGGCACAGCGAGTGGCGAAAGGGTTTACACAGGGGTGTGCTTCGTGTGCAGCGATGAGGCCGCGGCAGCTAACTGTCTTGTTGAGGCAACTGTGAATCGGGAGGCCACGCTCGCCAAAATGCAAAGCACAAAAGCTCGACGTTGTCAACGTAGGGTCTAGGGGAACTTCGCTTGCCCTTGCCGTCGTTGCCCTTGCCGTTGTAGCTATTGCTCCAGTAGGGGTCGGGGTGGTCATTGGCCCAATGTTCCGCCCACTTGTTGTTCTTCCAGTGCCCGAAGCCTGCTCCATCTGCCGGTGGGGTAGGGCGTGATGTCGGTCCTCTGTTTCGAGTGGGACTCGTGGTTGATCCCCACACGGTGGCGTAATTCCTGATCCACTCGCGGTTGACCCCATGGGGCTGCCATTAGGGGAGATTGCGGTGGATGTCGTGATGGCTGTTGTGCGCCGTGGTGCGTTTCGAGGAGTATGGTGCGGCTGCGATCCTGAGTAGCGTACGTGCTGCTGCTCGTTGAGGGCGTTCGCGTCGGTGCCACGAGGGTTCTCAGGTGGAAGCCGTGGTGCTGCGTACCAATGTTGAAGTCGATGTTGCCTGAACCTGAGGGTGTGAGAACTAGTGAGTGTAATAAGAAATCTGATGTAGCAGTGGATGTACTGGCTCGGGTATGCGGGTGCCCTCCCGAGGACGGGGCACCGCGCTGGCTGCCGTCCAACTCCTTCGGGCACGCGGATCTCCTCCTCCTCCTCCTGCTCCTGCTCCTCCTCCTCCTCCCGTCCTCCTGCTCCTGCTCCTGCTCCTGCTCCTCCTCCTCCTCCTCCTCCTCCTCCTCCTCCTCCTCCTCCCGTCTTCCTGCTCCTCCTCCTCCTCCTCCTCCTCCTCCTCCTCCTCCTCTTCCTCCTCCTCCTCCTCCTCCTCCTCCTCCTCCTCCTCTAATTTCTCTCCCCTCCTCCTACTGATATCCTCCTCTGCTGCTCCCTCCTGATGTTGCTCCTCCTCCCCCTCCCCCTCCCCCTCCCCCTCCCCCTTCTCCTCCTCCTCCTCCTTCTCCTTCTCCCTCCTCCTCCTCCTCCTCCCTCCTCCCTCCTCCTCCTCCTCCTCCTCCTCCTCCTCCTCCTCCTCCTCTCCTCCTCCTCTCCTCCTCCCCTCCTCCCTCCTCCTCTTTGCTTGCCTCCTTCTCCTGTTTCCCTCCAGCAATGCACACGCAATCCGGGCACCTCCGCCTGCAACTACACCCATCATGCTACTGATGCCGTGAAAAAATAAATTAACGCACTAACAGTACATCATTGTGTTTCTGCGCAGAAGGCGGAGCCCAAATTCCCCATCAACCTTCTGACTCTCCCTATCCGTCCTCCTCTTCGTCGTCGCCATCCTCCGCCTCCGCCTCCGCCTCCTCCTCCTCCTCCTCCTCCTCCTCCTCCTCTCCCTCCTCTCCTCCTCCTCCTCCTCCTCCTCCTCCTCCTCCTCCTCCTCCTCCCCCTGCTCCTCTACCTCCTCCTCCTCCTCCTCCTCCTCCTCCTCCTCCTCCATCTTCTCCTCCTTCTCCATCCTTCTCCTCCTCCTCTCCTCCACCGCCTCCTCCTCCTCCCTTTCTCCGCCTCCTCCTCCCCTCCTCCTCCTCTTTTACCTCCTTCACCTCATCCGCTGGCCCATCCTCACCTCCTCCACCGAAAACCTGACAAGTCCCGTCCCAGGATCAGGATATCGGTGCGGCGGGTGGGCATGAATGAGCATGCGCAATCCTGAGCCCAAAATGAGCCTGGGCAAGTTCGGTGCACGTGTATGTCTGCTGCCAGCCCATGCGCGTCTCGCTGACTCTCATCACTACACTGCCTCTCTCTTTCTCTCTCTCTCTCTCTCGCTCTCCCTCTCTCTCTCTGTAACCCCCTGACTTAGCAAGCGCCAATCGCAAGCCTCCCGCCAACATTAGCCGCACGTTAACAACACAACGGACGATATCATCGCAATTATGGTGTTGTTGCTGCTCGCTCTTCTCTTCTTCAGCCCCTTGTCTCACTCCTCCTCCTCCTCCTCCTCCTCCTCCTCCTCCTCCTCCTCCTCCTCCTCCTCCTCCTCCGCCTCCGCCTCCGCCTCCGCCTCCGCCTCCTCCACCGCCTCCTCCTGCTCCTCCTCCTCCTCTCCTCCGCCTCCTCCTCGTTTACCGTCTTCACCTCATCCGCTGGCCCATCCTCATCTCCTCCACCGAAAACCTGACAGGTCCCGTCCCAGGATCAGGATATCGGTGCGGCGGGTGGGCATGAATGAGCATTTGCAATCCTGAGCCGAAAATGAGCCTGAGCAGGTTCGGTGCACGTGTATTTCTGCTGCCAGCCCATGCGCGTCTCGCTGACTTTCTGTCTCTCTCTCTCTCTCTCTCCCTCTCTCTCTCTTGGGAATCCCCTGTCTTTCCTCTCCAAGTGTAAGTCTCCCGCCCACTAAAGTCGCACGCTAACAACAAAACGGGCGATCTCGTCGCAAGTAGGTTCTTGCTGCTGCTCACTCTTCTCTTCTTCAGCCCCTTGCCTCACTCCTCCTCCTCCTCCTCCTCCTCCTCCTCCTCCTCCTCCTCCTCCCTCCCTCCCTCCCTCCCTCCCTCCCTCCCTCCCTCCCTCCCTCCCTCCCTCTCTTCATGCTGTTCCTCCATCTCCTGAACACTTCCCAAAAGTTTCTGTCGCCCACGCCCCCCCTGTCCATGGCCAGGCTGACGGCCAGCCATGAGGCGGCTCGGGGCATCGGCGAAGCGCCCGAAGCCCTTGTGCTGCGGCAAGCGAACCGATGAGCAGCGGAAATAGGAGGCAGGACGAGGGAGGGAAGGAGGGAGGGCGGGAGGGAGGGAGATTCCCATGGTAGCGTACGAAATGCCCGTCCCCAGAAATGTCGCTTCGACGGGGCCACCCCACGGCACCCATAGTAGTGCAAGCATCGGTGTGATACAGAAGTCACAGCCCAGCCCAGCATACACACCCACTTTCAACACTGAAACTGGGGAGCGTGCGGGGGCTCTCAACGCATGGGTATGGGCTTCTCTTCTTGGTGAGCGCTTCTTTTACGCCAATGGGGTGAGGGACGAGGAGAGGGCAGAGAAAATGATCTCGCAGGCTGTTCTCACAGAAAAAGTGGGGCGTCCAAGGCCTCTCTCTTGGCTGCGGTCGGGGTGGGGGGCACGATGCGACCGATAGCACTCCTGCATGTCCTCTGACAGGAGGAGGACAGAAAAGAGGAGAACCGAGAAGAGAGGGGGATCAGGACGGGCAGTGGCAGAAGGGATCCCGAAGGAGAGATCATGAGATCTCAACGACAAACTCTTAGACGGAGACCTCGAGCTAGAGCTCGAATACATATATGTCTTCATGGTTATGGATATAATGTGTATATATACATACACTTGTATACATATACATGTATATGTATATGTCGGTATAGGTGTGTATATATATATATAGAAAAGAGAAGGAGAGAGAGAGAGAGAGGGAGAGAGAGAGAGAGAGAGAAAAAAAAAAGAACAAACAATCAAAAGCGAGATAGAGAGAGAGAGAGAGAGAGATCGCGAACAAGAAGAAACGCGCAGGCAGGGTATCGCTCAATAGGTCTTTACGCAGAGCTCTGAACACAACTTGAGCTAGACTAGAGGCCCCCCACACATAGGAATTGAGCAACAATCGCAATTCAATAAAAGAAACGCATCGGTGAACATGTCCCGGGACTCTGAAACGAGCGAAGACAAGCCGCATAACCTGAAGTAGTGAAGAATGATTCTCACGACGGGAACTTGTTTTTCAAAGTCGCCCAACCTCCAGGCTGATTCGTGCCCTCTCGGCGTATCGCCCATCGCCTATGGGGGTTATTGGGCATCCTTGCCCGCGACCTTGACCCGGCGCTTTGCGAGGCGCCATGCTCTCAGCTCGCACAGCCTGTAATCTCGAGGCCATCCCGAGGGTCTGCATCGGAAGCCTCCTTCTCCTGCTCCTTCTCCTGCTCCTGCTCCTCCTCCTGCTCCTTCTCCTCCTCCTCCTCCTTCTCCTCCTCCTCACCTGCTCTTTCCCGCCACTCTCTTGCCTCCTGATCCTCATCCTGGAGAGGGAGGAACACCAGGAGGGCAATGAGCTGGAAGGCGTCAGTAGCAAAAGCGTGCCGTACCCACCCCCGATCCTCTCCGCTGTACCCCCTCTTTCAATCCTTGAACATTGAGCTGAGCGGAAGAAGCTGGCCTTGAGGGTGCTGTCTCAGGGGCTCCCGTAAGCGAGGCTGATGAAAATGAAGGACGAGAGACGGAGGGGAGGAGGGCGGGGAGGGAAGGGGAGGGGGGCGAGGGGAAAAAAAGAGTAAGAAGAGAAACATGAGGAAGCATTTGGCCCGCTCACTGGAGCCCCCGAGACGGGCCTTGCGGATGTCCCCCGGATGTCCTGGCCCCCTGTCCGCTGGAACGCTGACGGTCGGGCGCGCCGAAGAGGGGGTCCAGGAAGCGGGGGCTCGCCACCGGCGCACCGTGGCCCGAGGCACGTGCGCGGACGCCGGGGGGCCAGGGGACGCATCGAACGAAAACGAGGGGCCCGTGAGATCTGGGAGATATCGTGGCCCCGGTCACAGTATCCACACACGCACACAGAGTCCCTACAGTAGGGGCCAATGCACAAGAAACCTTCCACAAGAGACACAACCCTGAGACCCCAGGACGTCCATGGAGTTTTGGTGTAGGAACGTCACGCTTCCCAAAGCAAAACCATCGAAACCCAAGAAACCCAGGGCACCCAAGCAGGGTGATTCTTGGCATGGGTCTCCACTTTTATCCACACACACACTGTCCCTGCTGAGCATCGTTTATAATCGATGCGTATTCCCATCGGCGTGGCCTGGGCTACACTGGCCGGTTCGCCCCCCTGGATGGGGACAGAGGCTGTTCCCTTCGGGTTTCCAGGGGCAGATCCCCGAACTGGGGTTGCTGGATGGTGGGGATCGGGATAGGGGATGGGGACCGGTTCGGCGATGCTGACTTGCCCCCGCTCTTGGACGCCCCCCGGGGCAAAGCGAACGAAGCGTTCTTTCCGAGCCGGGCGCGCGCAGCCGCCCGGGATCGGCGGCCGCGCGGGTGTCGGGCGCTGGGGCCGCGGGGCGGTCAGCTCCTGCGAGGGGCGGCCGCTGCTCGGAGGGGGTCTCCCTCCGAGGGCCAGTCGAGACAACGGCTTGCGTGTTTGGTCTGTTTTGGGCCTCCTGGAAGCTTCTCGTCGCCACGGCTGGATCTGCCTCGAAAAACGGGTCAGGATGGACCCCAATTGGGGTCCGGGAGTCGACTTTGAGCGGATTTGGGTCTGGCGGGAGAGGCGCCTTTGTCTCAACTGGCCCTCCTCCGACTCTCCTTGATCCTTGTTCCTCGTGGGCAGCTAGCTTCTCCTCGTTGCACCACCAGACGTGTTGGTAGGGTGGGCTGGGCGTTTCGCCTGAGAGGTCCTCACTAAATTTGATCCTGGAGGTTGGAAATATCAAATAATTGCTGTCCAGAATGAGTGGCAGGGGCATCTGATCCTCGGCATTACTAGCAGATCGCGCGGCGGGGGCACAGGATTTCTAATTACCACTCCAGGCCTCCCGCTTCCGAGAAATAGCCTTATCGGATTATCACAGCTGTTCAAGATTCCCAAGTCTGAGCGCTGTGGCGGCGACACACAACCATTCCGATTTTCCCAGGTTCAGAAAATGTCGAGAGGGTACAGGATGCTTGCAATTCCATGTCCCCCAGGTGTCATAAAGATCGTGGGCAGGGAATTGATCATTCTAAGCGCATCTGAACCATTGGAGCTTGCAGTAACCTCACAGCAGCGTGTGGCATCCTGCTATTGAGGTGCTCTGCTGGGATCCGCTGGCACACTTGGCGGGGCAACAGTCTGCGAGGCCTAGTTTCCTGTTCCCTGCAACAGTTCGAGAGCGAAGATTTCCAGTGTTATAGTTTTGGATGTTCTGATTCCGAAGTTGTGATGATTGAAATCTACGCGGGAACCCCGGCCCGAAAAGCATCCCATAACCACTTCGAAGCCACATGCTCTGAATTTCTGGGGCCGCTGGGACACGTAGAAATACGCTCCCGAGGCCAGTCCCCTGTAAGTGACTACTCGTTGGCGCTTCCGGGGCCACACCCCCTGGCAAATTGTGCACGGCACGCTCACACACACAAAACCACAATCCCTCGCAAATGACAGCGGGTTCGCGCTACCGAGGCCACATCCCGCAATTCACAACAAGATTGCATCCCCAAGGCCACATTCCTATGAAAAGTACAACAGATTCGCACTCACGAAGCCACGATCCCTTGCAAAATACAACGCGCTTGCGCTCCCGAGCCCACAACCCTTTTGACGCTGCAACAGGTTTGCGTCTCCGAAGCCAAAATCCCTGGCTAATTGCAGCACGCTCGCACGCCCGAAAACACAATCCCTAGCAAAATACAACCGCATTCGCGACCCCGAGCCCAGAAAACCTTGCAAATTAGACGTAACTCATTCGCGCTCCCAAGACCACAATCCCTAGCAGATTACGCCGCATTCGCGCTCCCGAGGCCACAATCCCTTGCAAACCACGACGCATGCGCACTCGCGAAGCCACAATCCCTTGTAAAGTGCAACGCGTTTGCGCTCCCGAGGCCACACTCCGCGTTGATTTGCAAAGGATTCGCGACCCCGAGGCCGCAACCCTTCGCAGCCAAGGACGCAGCAGCGCCCTCGAGGCTGTAATCCATCTGTGGAAACTGCTACAGGAGCCGACAAGCCCTCGTACAGTACAGCAAATTCTCGCTCCCGAGGCCACGAACCCACCCCAGGGAGGCTGCCCAGAAACGCGCCCCCCTCTCCCATGCAGAACAATCTTCAATTTCTGTGTTCAGATATGTGTTCGGGAGGCACTTCCCCCCCTCCCCCGCCCGGTCTGCTCTGGACTGGAGACCTCGAATCTTCAAACATGGCGAGGGGTGCGCGATCCCGACGCCGCGGGACCCTCGTAGCTTACGGTGGAAGCGCGATCCCGAGGCCACCACATTTCATGAATTACTACAGAACCGCGCCACCAGCTGGCCAGCAAGCAGCCGAAGCAAATCAGCGGAGTTGCCAGCAAACCAAACGGCAAGAAAACGCGTGGCAGTGTAAGCAGTATGAGGGGGGCCAGCGGCAGAGGGCGACGCCCCTGATATATTTCGTGCCCGCACTGTTGACAATTACTTTTTTGTCACCCACCCTGGCGTTTCTCTGGGCGTGGTGCGGGGCGAGGTTCGTTTGTCCAGAAGTTATGTCGCGATGGCATTCACAAAACGAGCGCGGGCTCGTTCCGACCCCGACTTGACTTCCATGGCAAGCCCGCATTTCGCACGAGCCTGTGAATGGCTCAGTCGCTCAACTTAGGCGATGGGGCGATGGCATCATGAAGAACTCCTCTTCCTCCTCCATCGCTGGTCCTCCTCCCAATTCCGTTCTCTTCGTCCTTGTCCCTCCTCCTCGTCCTCCTCGTCTTCTTCCCCTCCTCTTTCTCCCCCTCTTCCTGTCACTCCACTTCCTCCTCCTCGGCCTGCTTCTCTCATCCTACTTCTTCCTCCCCCTTCCCTTCCTCGCTCTCCTCCTCATCCTTCTCTCATTCCTCTTCCTTCTTCTCCCTCCTCCTGCCCCTCCTCCTCCACTTCCCCATCCATCTCCCCCTCCTCTTGCTCCCCCTCTTCCTCCCCGCTCCCCCCCTCCTTAC